TGGCAGCAGGCCTGCCGCAAGGCCAGTGACAGCAGTGCCCTGCAGCTACCAAACGCATTCCAGGTAGGGCAGAGCTAGAGCCTGACAACCTCCCAGGGGCCCCCACGGAAGGGAAGAGCAACAATTTTAAGGGAGAAGGTAATTAGCTTTGTTTGGCGAGACTTCCATGGAGTCTATGCTGTGCTAGTCACTTTGAATATTATCTCATTTGAGTCTTGTACCTGTTCCAAGTGGAGAACCTTCTCCTTCTCATCTTATAGGTGAAACTTGGCTTCTTGGGGTCTCATATGGCTTGTCCTGGGCTACACAGCTGGGGTTCAAATGTGAGCTCATCCATCCCTTGCCCTCAGCCAGTCCTGCTTTTGTGAATTCTGCTTGTGGATTTTACTTAGATTCAAAATGAAGAGCAATCGCCTCTAAAATGGCCATATTTAGCATCCCTTAAATTTCATATGAAAGAAAACTCATTCTTAAATCCCTGTGGTGGGCCCTGGCTTTTCCTGACCACCTAGCCTGGGGACCAGGGTGGTTAAGGCCATTTTTGACGGTCCCTTTGCTGGGTCAGGCCCCACTGCCTTTGAGGCTCCTTCCTGCCTAGGCTACTATGGTGACAGAAATGGTAACTCTTACTTATCTTTAATCCTGGCCTTTAACCCCAGAAAGTCACAACTGGGCTCTTGGAACAGGCTTCCCCCAGAATAAAGGGAGGAGGGACCTGAAGCATTCGAATGGGGAAGTGGTTCCAGAGGAGAGAGGGGAGGAGTGGGGTTTCTGGGGTGGCAGAGGTCTCGGCCGGGCTGGAGGAGGGATCCCCGAGGGAGACCAGCGGGTGGAGGGGGCAGGGCAGCATGCAGGGCCAGGGCGCCAAGCGTGGATGTGGCTTCCAGGTGAGGGACTGCAGAGGAGATGACGGGAGGAGGCCGGGATTGGAGCCCCAGGAGCGGGAAGTCAGCGAGGAGTGGCGGCCGGTGGTGTGTTTTGGTTCTGCTTTCGGAAGTACAGCAGTGGTTTGGCTGCAACATTCAAAGACCTGAAAATATGGAAGCAGCCTTTGGGGAAGAGGACTGCCGAGAATAGCGGTAGCGAATTCGGGAAGTGCTGAGCCAGGGGCTCCTGGGTGCAGCCGAGCCCGGGCTTCTTTCCGGAGCCTGTCAGTCTGCGAGAAGAGGACATCCCGTTCCGAAAGAACCGTCCCAGGCCTGCCAGGGCCACCCAGCTGGTTCTCTCTGTCTTTTGCCCAACATCTTCACTCCAGACTTGTCCACATCAGCTTAGTACACTTTGTGAACCTTAAGGTGCCATAAAAGTTGCTATTAATAATATTGATTATATATTTATTTATTTAGCAGGATTTATTGTGACTTCATTCGTGCCAAGTCCTGGAATTCAGAGGTGAATTGAAACTCACTGCTTGATGAAATTACGCAGTGCAGCGTGGCCAGATGTATAAAGAAGCACACACAGAGCTGTAGGGGCCCAGAGGGGAGGGGCTGAGCGGGCCCTGGGAGAGTCAAGGTCACCTTCCCAATGGGTTTGCAAAGACATGCATGTGACCTTGACCAAGAGGAAAGCAAAGGGCAGGCCAGGCAGAGGGGCTGCCCGTGCTGAAAGGAGATGTCAACACTTGACATCATTGGAGAGAGCTAGGAGTAGGCGAAGATGAGGCCAGGAAGACAACAGGGGCCTGCAAGCCAAGCTAGAGAATTTGCATTTTGTTCCACAGGCCTTGGGAACTAAGGAGGGTTTTATGCAAAAAGTATATGGGATCTTAAAACTGTATTTCAGGAGATCAAATTTAGCATAAATATGGTGAATAATAATATTAATTACAAACGATGATGGTGGTGGAAATACAATAACAAATCCATCCATCATAGGTCAAAGGTGAAGGGCTGTCACTCCCATGGTTATGTTGCATTCTGTATGACTTGTAGCAGGCTGGAGAGAGAGATTCTCCTGCTGGCCTTGAAGAAGCAAACTGCTACGTTGTGAACTGCTTATGGAAAGTGCCTTGTGGCAAGGACCTGTGCAGGTCTCTGGGACCTGCTGTTGGCATCCAGCAAATAGCCAACGAAAGCTGTGGCCCTCAGTCATGCATTTGCAAGGAAACAAATTCTGCCAACAACGTGGATGAGCTTGGAAGCAAACTCTTCTCCAGTTGAGCCTCCAGATGAGAACACAGCCTGGTTGACACCTTGTGAGACCCTGAACAGAGCCAAGTCACACCTGGACCCCTGACCCATGGAAACTGTGAGATAAATGTGTGCTGTTTTAAGCTGTCAGTTTTGTAATAATTTGTTACAGAGCAATAGGTTACTAATATGGATTCCCTTAATTAAGCAGTGCAGGAATCTGCTTCCAGAAGAATCTAGTGGACGTTAAGGTTTATAAAGCTGCAGGGATGCCTGCTTTTCAAGATGAGTGCATCTGCAGCGGCCTACAAGGTGGAATCTTAGAGCTGGTGCTGGTCTCCAGTGCCCCAGCCCCTGATAGCACTCCATTGCATGTTGGCCGTTGGAGAGGAAACTTCTTAGACTCTTAGAGGCAAGGCAGACTGGGGAAGAGCAGAAGCTCAGATTCAGGTAGACCAAATACTGCCTTGCCTATGTTTACCTTTCTGTGACTCAATTTCCTCCTCTGTAATATGGGGATAATCCACACAGATGATATGTAGATTCATTAACATTGAATTCATGTCCAGCAACACTGTAAGTCATGCTTGAATGAAGTTTATCTAAGGAATCTATTTTCTCTGTAAGACACATCACACTCATCTTGAGCTTAAAAACACCAGATAGCACTTTTGCTCTACGTCTGGGGGCCATTTTTAATGGCAAAAATCACCAACAAAAAGCACAAAAATGTGAAAACCATGGCACTAAAACAGACCACAGAAAGGACACTTGTTTACAGTATGAAAGCTGAACCAAGAAGGCAGAACATTGCCTTGTTCAACCTCAACTGGGAATGCAAGTGTCGGGCAACTCAAATTTCTTGCCACTCTATTCTCGTCAGTGATTGACTATCAAAGTGCCAAAACACTGTAAGTGTTGATATTGAGGTTACAAATAGATTTCAGCAAGTAAGCAAATTTGCAGATATGGAATCCACACATAACAAGAATCCACTATATTTGGCATAGGCCAGTAAAAAAAAAAATCAGCTTATTACATTATCATCGGGGACAGTTTTGAGTCTGGCAAAGACCTACTGAGGACACCAGGAATCCAAACAGCAGCTGGAGCTCATGGGGAGAGGGAGGGAAATCTGCAAGTGTGGAGCCCCTCGAATCAATGTTCCAGGGATCCTTGAGTCCCTCTCTTATCCCTCTGCCAGGCCTCCAAGGGCTCCCAACCTCCTTAGTCTTAACTCTTGGTTCTCCCTGGCAGGGAGGTAGGTGAGACTTCCCGGGTTGCACTGGGGCCTCCTGTATTGGATGCTGAGACTGCTGGCCCTCTGTGTGCCCAGGACAAGTTCTGTTCGGCCCAGTCCAGCCCAACCTGGCTCGGAGTTCTGTGTGCCGTTGCTCGTAAGCACAGGCCTGTATCCTGCCATTGTTCTGGGAAGGGCCACAGTGAGCCGGACAGGCAGGGGAATGGCACGGCAGATAGGGAGCCTGTTTCCAAATTGCCAGGTCACAGGGGAGAAAGAAGCTGACCTGCTCCACACCACACCTCCCCCTTCCTGCTCTCTATGCCAGCCCTCCTCCGGTCAGGTGGCTAGCAAAGCCCCAGGGGGTCCTTAACCTGGATTTCTGCACTTTCCCAGGAATAGAGCAGGAAAAGAAAGGGAACTCCCATTTGTGCAGCCTGCTTCTGCGCCAAGCCTGGTGCTGGCCACTTTCCACTTCCTGCCTCATGGAATCCTCCCAATCACCCTGCGGTGTCCAGAGCATCCAGGGTTATAGATGAGGAAACTGAGGTTCAGAGTGGTCCAGTGTGCAGCAATGAATTTAACCTCATCCTGGTCATTTGGCAGCATTAACTCAATTTGAGCAACAATGCAAAGTTCTGTCAGAGAGACTTTTCTTTTTTTTTTTTTTTTTTACTTTTACTTTTTATTCCCCCCATACCCCTGAATCCCTGGTATACACTACCACCATTTGAGCACCATAGTTTTAGTCAGTCAGTACCAATTTGATGGCGAGTAGATGTGGAGCCCATTTTCCAGATCTTGTGTCGCCTCACTTTGGATAATGGGTTTAAGCTTAATCCAGGATTGCATAAACAGTGCAAGCTCACTGTAGTTTCTTAGAATTGAGTAATATTCCATTGTGAGCATATACCAAATTTTAATTATCCACTGGTGAATTGACGGGCACTTGGGTTGTTTCCATGACCGTGCAATCGTGAATTGTGCTGCCATAAATATTCGGGTGCAGATGTCTTTGTAATAGAATGTCTTTTGCTCTTTTGGGTAGATGCCCAATAATGCTATTGCTGGGTCGAACGGTATTTCTATTTCTAGCTGTTTGAGATATCTCCAAATTCTTTTCCGCAAAGGTTGCACTAATTTACAGTCCCACCAGCAGTGTAAGAGTGTGCCTGTCTCTCCACATCCTTGCCAGCATTTGTTGTTTTGGGTTTTCTTGATACAGGCCATTCTCACTGGGGTTAGGTGGTGTCTCATTGTGGTTTTGATTTGCATTTCAGAGAGACTTTTCAAAGAGCATGAAAAGAGTTCATGCTAAAAGCCTAAATGCCTAAAAGCAACCTCACAGGGGCTCTCTAGCAATCCTTAAGATAAAATATTAAGAAGGACAATAATGACAACCTTCAACTTGTTGTTTTCTAAGTAAAAAGCCCCACTCTAAGTGCTTTACATAATTTTTGTCACTACAATTGTTTCAGGGACATTTTGAGGTACAGATTATCATCGTAGCCATTTTAGAGGTGACATATCTGAGGCTCGGAGCTGGGAGCTGACTTGCCTTAGGTTACAGAGGTCCTCACTCAGGCAACAGGAGAGTGGGGACTGGAATGCAGAGCCCTCCCTCTTACCTGCCATGCTAGGGGCTGGGGCTGGTGCAGGGCCGCTTTCTCATTCTGGAGCCCCCTCACGTCCCCTGGGTGTCTCTTCCGTCTTGTCTTGTGAAGCACAGCAGGCAACCAAGGTCGCCAGCAGCCACAGTCTTTTCTTTTCAGAGAAAAGGCCACAGCTTTCTAAGTTGAGATGCTGGAAGTGCTCAGTGCTGCACCCACAGTCGCTGCTGCCTGGGGACCCCATGGCGTCATCTCGCCCCAAGGCTGCAGGGCTCAGCCGCCGCCCGCTCACCCACCTCCTTTGGGCTCCACCGTACCCCTCCTTAGGGCTTCTCTGAGCCTCCGGAACTTCTTTCCTGTTAGATCTTGTTTCCACGGAGAAGGGCAATGAAGGGAGCTACCATTTTTTTTTTGGTGGGGTGTCTTCCGGTGAAAACCGGAAAACGTCCTAGACAAATTCTAAAAGAGGTCTACCCTTTGGGAGTTACGTTTATTGACCTGCTAAGGTATGCTGGGCACTGTGATAAATCTAACACACACAGGAATGAGTATTAACAGCCTTTTATAGAAGAGGTTGCTTGAGAAAGGCCCAGTCACTTCCCCGCGATGGCAGTGGGCGGTTCCTGTGGAGCTGGGATTGGAAACCTGGGAAGGAATTGTGGAGGAATCCTTGGTTTTGAAAAAACATCATCTGGTTTCTTCTCACCCCTCCACCCCCCTCTCCTCTGCTTGCTCCTCATTGTTTTAATGGGGTGATTTTCTTAGAGTGACTGTGATTTGAGCTTTCCTCTGAGGCCCCCATACTGGCGATGGTAGCAATAGACTCTTCACGCTCAGGAGGTGCCCAGATCGCAGCACACAGGGTCCAGCTGGGAAGTATTTCCCAATCGCCTGTCACTGCAGGCCAACACAGACGCATGCGCACAGCCTCTGCCCTGGTCCTGCGGTAACAGTCAAATTGCAGGAGGAAAGGCAGGGGGACGGGAGAGGCTGAGCTCCCGACTTGCCCTGGTCCCGTGGAAAGTGTCCCTCACCCACCCGGGCCGGCACAGGCTCCTTCCCACGTGAATCGTGCTGACCACACGGCCTCACACCCACCGAGGGACAGAACAGAGCCCCACAGGCAGGCTGAATCCCACAGTCACTCAGGCCACTCTGGTGGAGCAAGAGGCTGTGGGCAGTGTCACTTGGCACCGTGAAAGGTAGTCTTGGGCTGTGGGGTCAGAAAGACCAGGGTTCCACGGTCAGTGCCATGGTTTATCTGAGTGACCTTGGGCAAGTCACTCAACCTCTCTGAGCTCCAGCTCCCTTTCCCATAAAACGGAGAAAATAATACGGATCTTATAAGACTAAGAATTCAGCAAAAGTGTGTATGTTGGTAGGTGCTCTATAGATGTTATTCTCCCCCCTCTCCTCCTCCTCAAAGCAGGGCTGGGGTGAGAAGAGCTAAGAGAAGTGTCCAAATCCACCTGTCTATCAGCCTGTCTCTCCTCTTTGGGACAGAGCTAGTTCCCTGCCAAAGGGCCCTGCCGCTGAGCAGTCCTCATTCGGTCAGAGGCACAGATGGGGTTAGTCCACCCTCTGCCTCCCTGAATTAAAGTAAAACCTCTTTTACTTTAGAGCTACTAAGGGAAGTCCTTTAGAAGCTGCATTCGGTGAGAATGAATACAAGAAAAAATTTTGGACGTGGGTAACTTCTTTATGCCTATTAATATTAAATGTTGAGGAAAAGAATAAGCCATGTTGAGTGGGAATTGAGACCACAGGCCCTGGATGTAAAGGGCTTAGAGGTTCCAAGTCCTGCTGGGACACTTATTAGCCTAGTGGCCTCAGGCAAGGTATTTAACGTTTTTGTGTATTAATTTCCTAACGTGCCAAACAGTGGTAATAATGAGATCTACTCACATGGTGGTTGTCATAAAGACTGGAATACTGACCAGCACATAGGAAGTGTTCAGTAAATGTCATTTATATGTTTTATTTTACTGAGATAGAAACTGAGATGAAAAGAGGTTGGATAGATGCCTCAGGAAAAAAGGGAAAGATTTAACTTCATTAAATAGTCTCCTATAAATGCTTTGTTAGCAGCTGCTCACTTAAAAAATATCTGTAATCTTGATTAGAACTATAAATTGGCGACAATATAAATTGTGGCGAGAGTATGAGCTTTCAGATTTTGCATTTATTAGGATACAAAACAATCTTTCAATTAGCATTTTTATAAAACTGTAAGAACTGAAAGAGGCTTTAAACATGGGGAGTTGAGAAGGTCTCTACTAGGAAGGCCACGGACACCTTTCTTCCACAGAGTGATGCTGACTTGAAGTTTTACAATGATGCAACTTTCATTCATACATTCATTTGTTCATTGACTCAGCCACATTTAATAAGCAAGTGCCTGCTTTGTGTTAGGTGCTGTAGCGTACCCACAAATATAGAGGCAAGAGGGCCAGTCCCTGCTGGCACCATGCTTAACATGCTTAAGTCTCTATAAAGATAGATACGCAAATTGACCACTACTTTGTGTCCTGATCAATGCTTTAATGGGGACACGAGCCCTCCAGGGGGAGGGAAAGTCACCCAGTGGGTTCTCGGTGTTCTCACCTAGTGGGTTCACGGTGCTGATAGCAGTTCTCACGCCGTGTTCTCCGCCACCCGTGCTGGCTTTCTTATCCAGCACATTCCAGCGAAAAGCCCCACATCATGAGAGCTGACGGAGTTATTGGATGTTTATAGGAGTCAGGCATTGTGCCGGGCACTTTACATGAATTATCTTATTTAGTCATCACATTAGCTTTATGAGGGAAGTACTATTAGCTCCAATGTGCAGAGGAGAAAAATTAGAATCAAAAAAGTTTAAATAAATCAAATAAAATCACACGGCTGGCACAGGGCAGTGACTGAGCCATGGCTCAAACATGGGTCTCTTAGGTCCCAGTCCCTACGGCTGGCCAAGCCACTCTGTTCTGTGTTTATCATCGTATCTGCAGTTCCACCTGAAGAAGAGCCGTTAGGCCAAAGATAGCCTGTCTAGAATGCCTGGGCTCTGAGCTTATGTGATATGGAGGAAAGAGCTTGGGATCTGGAATCAGAATATCTGGGTTTGCATTTTCTCCTGCCTTCTAGCCACAAGAAACTCCCCACTTTGAGCCGCCGCTTAATCATCTGAGAAAAAGGGGTGTAGTGCCATGCATAGCCTGTCTTGGAGGTCTTAGGAGGCTTCAGTGAAAGAAGGATTCTGAGACAGTGTTTTGTAAAAGTAAAATCCGTGTTAAAGTATCAGTTACTGGGGAGGAAGTGCATTGGGAAGGCCATGGAAAGCACTCTAGCTAGTTTAAAAAGAAAAACGACTTAATGTAAGGAAATGGACGCTTATAAAATCATTGGAAGCTCTAGAAGACAAGGTTGCCAGGGGGTGTGGAAATATAGTTTTCAGTGTTTAATTCTCTGTAATCTGGAGAGGCTGGAATGGACATTGGGTGAACCAACAGTTTGGTTCTAATGTATGTATGCAGTGATGTAGCAAAGCACCCAGCCCAGCTGTGCCAGATGCCCCTGCTCCAAAGATGGAACCAAGGATGTGTCAGCGTCTGCCCTTCCTCACCCTACAGGGGGTTTGGAGGGACGAGAGGCAGAGTGGGATTAGGAAGACGGGCACATCTGGAGCTCCCAGGATATAAGGGTTGGCAAAGCTGGAAACTCTACGGGAGACAGTTAGGAAGAGCATCACAACTGTGAAGGCCAGGAGAGGACGGAAGTGTGTGGGGACAAGAGTTCAAGAGTAAGAGCAGGTAGAAATCACATAGAGAGTAGACATACTCCACGAACTCTACATTCAGCTCTGTCTGTAGCTCAGTTTCACTAGTCACCAAGAGTGTGATGTGCGGGTGGGTCAGTCCAGAGGAGAAGATGGGACATGGGACATAAACACAGACCCTAGGTTAAAACATGCAATGGTCCCCTTTTCTGGAAGGTCTCTGTGAATTAAAACATATTATATCAACCTCCCCGGGGTATTAAGGTCTGCACTTTCAATACTTTTCTCATCACGATCTATGCTTCCTTATTCACTTTCAAACAATGATCAGGTTGGAAGAGTTTTCAAGCACATGTTATTCATCCTAATTAAATACCCACCCAAGATGAAAATGAAATTTTTTTTCTAATTTCATCATCATCATCATCATCATTAAAGAAGATCTATAAAGTTAGAAATTAATGGTACAGTCACTTTTTTTGTAAAGACAGGTGTGAGGTTTCTCTTTAAGGCTTTGCAGGGGATATGTTCTTTTATAGGCATGTCTGCCTCCCCTGAGCCTTGGTGGGACACAGGGCTCTCTTAGCAATTCCTCAGGCAGGGGTGCAGAACCAGGCAGGGAGGGGCCTCCTCCCACAGCTGGACTGGGAAGCCGGGGAGAAGGGGGTGTGATTGGTGCCGCACAAGCAGGGCCTGGTGGGGCAGAGGAGAACCTGAGGATGAGGACGGGGACTTGGCCAGCTCGCCTGGGAAGGGAAGGCCTTTCCGGCGCTGGGCTCTGGCACCTTCCTCTGTGAATGCAGCAGTGCTGGCCCCGGCCAGGGAGAAGCTTCGATTCCTGGAAAAGCACATCAGCACATTTGTTACTGTCTTATCAGCAAAGTGCAGAGGCAGCCAGAGAGCGAGGGACGGATTCTGTTACTGGTGACGAAATGTCCTCCTGGTCAAGCATGGAAAATGTTTCGGGAATGAATTCCTAACCATGGTGTGAAAACAGATGTTGGATTTTCTCTCTCTCTCTCTCTTTTCCTTTCCCCTCTGACTTAGCTCAGGAAGACGGGGCAGGAGTTGAATGTGGAAGCCGAGCTGCTCACAAGCATGAAGGCCCTGGAATGAAGTCAGAAGAGAAGCTTCGAGATCAGTCATGCTGCAAGGACGGGGAGAGGCTCCATCCACTCCCCTATTCCATGGAAGGGGAAACTGAGGTCCACTGTGAGGGAGAAGGCAGTACCCAAGGTCACAAACCCTGGCAGGGGTTCTCTGAGCCTCTTGCTAATGCTCAGAATGAGATTGGCAATGGTCACAAAACTAGGACTGACAATCTTGAATGGGTCCATCAAAAAATGAGCTTAGGAAACATTAAGTTTTTATGACAATGGAAAACACCTTACCTAACAATTTATTTTTTATTCTTTTAAATAATTAAGCAAATTAATTTAAATATCATTTTTTTCTCAGAAATAATGCTTATAAAGGAATAGAAGCAACTACTGAGGGTGTTCAGCCACAATATCTGCTGGGTGGGAGGAATGAAAGAGGTCGGGCTTTGGCATTAGGTAGAACTAGAGTTTAAAATCCTGGATCTGCCATTCAGTTACTGTATGATCTTGGGCAAGTCTCTCAGCCTCAGTGTCTCCTTTATAAAATG